TCTGGGTCCACTGATTTCAAATATTAAAAAAATGGACGAGATTATCCATAACCAATACCAGTTTGCATTGCCATAGTACAGCGGCTGATTGTATTATGTAAACTTTATAGAGCAATATTACATATTACTACATGCACATTTTATGCAACCATATGGCTGACGCCGCCTATACTATTATGTGCATTACACTCAGTTGTGAGTTTTTTTTTTCAAAATTTGCTTCGTTGCTTATTTTTTGTTTGAAACGATGATATATTTTTAATGTGTCTATCCATTTTTCTGCATTTCAGGTTTTCCCCTTGGAGCAGAATCGATAAAAACTAATTCTTATTATGGGAGAAATGTGGCACAACCAACAGTGATGAACAATGTCGATTGCTCCGGCGAGGAGAGAAGCTTATTTTCCTGTTCATACACTGGAGATATATGTAATAATGAACACATTGCAGGGGTCAAGTGTCAAGGTGGGTGAAGTTGTCATTGACATATTGCAGCGTTTTGTATCGTATGTACACCTTTATCAAATCAAAAACCATAAAGCCTAGTCCAAACTAGTCCAAAGTTGAAATGATTATAAACATACCGCCCAGTTCGTCAATATACAACCTGCATTCCCAGTGACAATTCTAGCTTTGAATAAAAGAATTAGACGTGCCTTGAAAATCTAATGCAACAACGGAGCTCGGTAAAGAAGGTTCTGTTTTATGGGACTACAAGACAAAACCACGTAATTCTCAAGCTGCGAATAAAGTGTGAGTGACTAAGTAGCAGTAATATATTTTTCACAGGACCAGTGAGGCTACAAGGAGGCGATTCTTCTCATGGCCGAGTGGAGGTTTATACACAAGGTAGATGGGGTACGATATGCAGTGAACAATGGGATATACAAGACGCCATTGTGTTATGCCGGGAGCTCGGTAAGAAGAGAAACTGATGTTACCGTTGTATTAGTGATTAATATAGTTGTATAGTTGATTAATCTATTCTATTCAATTCTATTCTATTCTATTCACTACAGGATTTTCAACTGGTGCTTCATCTGCGCGGGACCCTGATGTCACAGATCTTGCAACAGGTGACATCTGGATGTGGGATACTGAATGTGATGGTTCTGAAGACAGTATATTTTACTGTCTCTCTGGCAAACCTATCGGAAGTCCACCTTCAACGTGCACACATAGCACCGACGCCAGTGTAATTTGCATTTGTAAGTACTGTGGCATCGGG